AAAGAAAAATAGCTGAAGTCCATTAGGAACAATGTTTACATCTCTGAAAGTATATGCCGTTGAATTTTGATACTTTTGATTATTTTTTTCTCTTTCTTTTTGTCTTTCTTTCTTCCTTCCTTCCTTCCTTCCTTCCTTCCTTCCTTCCTTCCTTCCTTCCTTCCTTTCTTTCTTTTTCTATCTTTTCTTTGTTTCTTTCTTTCTTTCCTCCCTCCCTACCTCCTTCCTTCCTTCCTTCCTTCCTTCCTTTCTGGGAAACATAGTCTCAATATGCAGACCATCAGTCTGGCTTTAAGTTCACTATGTAATCCAGTAGCCCAGCCTCTGAAGTGCTGAGATTGCAAACAGACTCCACATTAGTATTGTGTTTATTCAATTGTATATTCCACACATAATAAGAAAATTATGGAGCAACAATAAGAAATATTTCTTTTTATAATACTTATTCTTGTTCCTTTTAATACTGCTTGGCTCATGTCCATGCAAAATCAAAATTCTGAGGCTTTTATATTTTAATATGCCTTAATATTTGGGACATAACATATCAACAAGGGAGACATAACTCAGTCAATTCAGTAAATCATAAAATAATCATTTTTGCTGGCCAGTAAATCCTAACTATTAATCCTTACTATGCAGTAGGTTGAAATCTGAGGGTCATGGTTCAAAGCTGCCTAGACAGCAAAGACTGTGAGACTTTTATCTCTAATTAACCACTCAAAAGGTGGAAGTAGAGCTGTGGCTCAATTTCTAGATTGCTTGTCTTCAGCACAAAAACACAGGGACAGTACCCAGGCTTTTTTCAAGCCCCAGGATAAGCACAAAAAATAGTAATAATAATTTTCATATCTCAAACCTATCTACTAGGAAAACAGGATCAAAATATTTAAATAGTTAAAAATATTGGAAAATTGAAAATGATTGTTTGTTATATAATGGTAGCTAAAATTGCTTCTCAGTATAAACTATTATCTATGATTAAAGCATTCCAAACTTTATAATAATAGCAGATTACCCATTTTATTTAGATGATACTAAGCATAGGTAAATTTAGATTACAAAATAGAAACAAAACTATTGGTCATCACTTCCTGTTCAAGACCACTGTTACCTTGAGAAATCTTAAGCTATATAACAAGAGTTTGAATATGGGACATGCATGTCCATGCTATTATTATTTTGAAAAGTTATTGTTGTTTGTTGTTAAAGAGCCTAGAAAAGAAAAAAAAAGCAGTGTAAGATAAAAAGATATAAAGAATGACTTTAAACATTGAAAGAGTATTTCCTTCAAGGTATAACAACTTTTTTATTTTGTAGTCTATCTAGAAAATGTATATAAATAGGTAGAGTGTCACAGTAAATATATATCAACTCCCTTAACATGAGGTATCTTGCTGCTTCATGAGTTGTCCCGTAAGTACAGCTTGAACTCATGACCTCTTTATGTGAAGGTTAGAAGATTTTTAGCAGGAATGTCATACATATTGTAAAAGCATGGCAAGCTTAAAGAGGTATTTTCAGATTTATTTTTTTATCCCTATTTCTAGCAGAATTCCAGACTCTTAGCTGTGATGTTTTATTTGAGGATTTATTTTTTAATAGCTTTAGGGGAAAAAAAGGTTTATAATTCCATGTTTATAATTCAAACAGACCTATCCCCAGAAATTAGTGTAGTATATACAAGACTTTTAAAAATAAAAGCTAAGGGCTGGGAAGGTGTCTCAGTGCTAGGTTAGATTCCTCAGCAACACATAAACAGAAAAAGCTGGAAGTAGTGCCATGGCTCAAGTGGTAGAGTGCTAGTCTTGAGCTGAAAAGCTAAGGGATAGTGCTCAGACCCAGAGTGCAAGACCCGTGACCCATCAAACAAAATTTTGGGGAGAGGGCCTATTCTAATAGCTTTATTTCCATGTGGACAAACAGTGTTTCCCGTTTTGCTGCCACTGATTGGTGACTCTACATTGTTTTTATAGAGATGGTAAATTTAAACGAGTTTGAACTTCATACTTATAAAATACCTCCATTCTATAGAATGCAACAGAGTCTAATTTCTTCCAAATTAAAAGTCAAGTATACATAGCTTCCTGTTTTGTTGTTTTGTTTTCGTTTTTGTTTTCCTCCTTCAGTCTGCTTCAATGAATCGTTTTCTGAGTCAAGTCTAGACCTCTGAGAGTTTGTCTCATGCTTCTTTGGAGTTCATTCCTTGTTCTTATTCATTCTGAGATCCTTTTTCTTAGATGTCAGTAATGTATTTGTCAGGTTCCATTATATGTGCATTTTAATCATTTCACCTTCTGTTCCTACTGAAAAATTGGAATGATCTGAACTCTCCTTGACAGGAAATCACTAATATTTTTGTCTACCCTCATCAGTACTATTCTTCCTTCCTGAGGCTTTTGTTTTTATTTTTTAAGTATCTTCAACAGCCTAACATTAAGCTAAACTCTACTCGCTGTTGGGCTGTTACTTGTTCTCTGACATCCCAAACTGTTGATCTCCTTGACCACAACACCCACATTGTTAAATTATTCTTGTAGACTGCTGTTTTTCTAGCTTGGATACCTGTTCAATAGACTGAAATGTTCTTGATTCCTGATTTATATGTGCTTAGAAAATTCAGATGTTAGTTTTATAAAAATGAACTCAAGGTTTACCCCCACAGAAGTCTTCCTTAAAATCCTAAATAAAATAATATTTTTGTTTATTTTGTTTTTATTTTGTGCTAGCCCTGGAGCTAGATCTTTTGTTCAAGGCTTGTTTTGACTAATGACTTGTTTTGAACCACAGCTCCACTTCTGGCTTTTTGGTAGTTAATTGGAAATAATCTTATGGATTTTTTGCTCAGGCTGACATTGAATCACCATCTTCAGATCTCAGCCTTCTAAGTTTCTAGGATTACAGGCAGGGGGTACCTGGCTATATATTAACTGATTTAATAGTTTTTTAAAATAGATTACTCATTATCTATAGGGAACTTTTCTTATTTATTCATTTATTTGTATATTCACTATTGTCCTCACAATTTGTATTTAAGTAATTATATAGTCTATTTTGTTCACTAAGGTTTCTAGCACTTAGAAGAACTGAAACTTCCTAGGAAGGCAATGAATATGTTTTAAATGTGCAAACAATATGTGTATACATGTGTGTGTGTGTGTATGTGTCAGTGTGTGTATTCCATTACTCCAAAGTTGCCTATATAGACAACTTGGCCAAGGGTAAAAAAAAAAAAAAATCAGCCTTGGAACTGAGGCATATAGTTTAATACATCATGATACACTTTTGGTAATTTTCTCCCTTGCATAGTTTTAAAGATGTTAAGAGAGGGCTGGATGTGGCTTAGTGGTAGAGTGCTTGACTAGCATGCATGAAGCCTTGAGTTCATTCCTCAGTACCACATAAACAGAAAAAAACAGAAGTAGTGCTATGGCTCAAGTGATAGAGTGTTAGCCTTTAACAAAAGAAGCTCAGGGACAGTGCCCAGGCCCTGAGTTCCAGCTCTAGGACTGGCAAAAAAAAAATCACCTGTGAATACTTATGAAACATATATGTAAATTACTCACATTATTAATTTGTCATATTATTAATTTGGACTTTGTGGAGAGGGACATTTTAGAAATAAAAGACATAACAAAAATGCCACTAGAATGAAATATCAACTAAAGGAATTGTTAGTGCTTTTGATTTTCACAACTGTTTTGAAATGTGGTTGTTTCTTTGAGATTTTGTATGTGCCCCTAGGTTAATTAAATTGCATCAGGATAACATTTCCATAGCTATGTATGTGTAGTATGATAGGGTTAAATTTAAGAAGTTGTTTTATGGCAGTATCTCAGACTTAAAATTTTGCATCCTAAGTGGGTTATGTGGCTATTAACTTGATGTACTTTTGCTAAAAGGTTGTATAATTCATATGATTTCAAACAATGTGACTTTTATTATTAATTTGTAAATATTATATATGTAGACATTAGTGCACCACTGTGTAAACTCTCTTAGAATGATAATGATAACTTTTATATTTTTCTCCTGTTTAATGTTAGCTGCATAGCATATTTAATGTATTTTTAAGCATGCATGTGTATGTTAAAAATATTAGAGAATTGTTTATAATATTTCACTTTTTATTGGCAGGTACATTTTTATGACATTTCTTTCATATTAAACTAATTGCGATTAGTGGAGATAAATGGATATCCCATGTATGAATTCAGTAGGAGGAAAAAAATCTGTACTCAAATGGCTCAGTGTCTCATGGCATAAAATATACGACTGTTTTGTCTATTATTTAAAAATCATGTGTGTACAATTTTATTTTCTCATTTTTGTCTTGGTCTTCCATAGTTATTGATCTCTGTAAGATGTACCATTTGTCAGTGAAATCACTGTGTATGTAAATGGAAAAATATGTGTGTACCCTTGCTACCCAGATCTCAATACAATATCTTTCAAAAAATGTTAATGAAATGACCTGAAAACATGTAAATATCTAAACAGTTCATATAAGTGTGCCTGTAGACCAAACAAAACAAAATAAGCAAACAAATCAAAAACCTTTCTGAGGATTTCTTCACTAATTATCTTCCCGAACTTTCTTTTTGGTGTAAGCATTGAGTTCAGCAACCAATACTTTCATTTACCCTTATGTAGCTGTTAGTGCCCCAAATTGATATCAAAATGTTGTGGATCAATAAAAAAAAAATCACCTTTATTTTTTTCAGGCAGCTGGTTTATTCTACTTTGAGTAATCATGTTGAATCTTCTGATCTCTATTAGGGATCAGGATGTTTTTACTGCCCGGTTAGTATTTACCTAGAACAGGGTTGCCCTGGAGCCCAGGAGCTTCCATATCTTTGGATCCAGGGCTGATTGGGCCTGGGGTGGCTGGAGTCTGTAGCCTGCAACAGAGAGCTGCTTTGGGAATGACCTCTTCCCAGGGCTCCTGTGAGGTGGGCCTGAGCTGAGTGGGGGTCTGATGGTGCGCCCTGCGGTCCCCGCAGGTGGCAAGCACAGTGAGAGACATCCATCCTTTGCTGCTTCACTACGACATGCTGAGCGCAGCCCAGGAGGCGCTCTACCTCCCAGACATCTCCTCCAGCAGCCAACTGCAGAGCGAGCCACTCCTCATCGTGGACCAGGGCCTCGTGGAGCTGCCAGAGGAGTTCGTGGTCCAGGTGCCCAAGGAGCACAGATTTCAGCCCAAGGTGCGGCCAGTGGTGGGGAGCGAGGGCTGGGTGGGATGGCTAGGCTGGGAAGGGGCAGCTGGGAGGCTCAGCCCCAATTATGTCTTCTTGTCTTTTCCATCTACATCCCTAAGTGGTTGATGTTTCATCCAATGTTGGCCTAGCCAGATGCTTTACCAATGCATGCCTGTTCTATATTGGAGGCTCATCCTTATTTAGAAAGATCTGGGTTATGACTTAAGGTTTTGGTTGAAAATATTTTCGTTATTGTAGGAAATTTTAAATAACCTTTTTTTTTTTAACTGACAATTTCATCTGCTGAAAAATGTGCAATACTGTAAAGATAACCTTTGTGTTTCTGACCATCTGCTTGTATAAAAAAAAAATCTCATCAATGGAAACTAACAAGATTTTGAAAAGATTATGATTGAAACATCTTTGTTAGGAACTCTGCATAGCACCAAACCTAATAGAGAAGATAGAGTTACAAAAGCAAGCTAATAGTCACATGAAAATATTGGGAAGTACTTAATAATACTGATTTTGCACCTGCAAATTACACTGAGTGAATGTTCAGCCCTTAAAACTCTAGTGTTGAACATGATATAGTATTTCCAAGAAGAAAAAAAAAAGCTGTACTTACTTTTTCTCCTAATAATACACTATATTTGAATTTTTAGCATAACATTGAGACAGCATGATTTTTCTTTTGCATTTTCTAACAGAACTTCATACAGGCACTCTTATTCCTATAATTCTTCAAAGAAGGTGTAACACAATTTTCCTTCTGTGGTACAACATACTGAATTTGAAGTCTTTTCCCAAAACACAGTCATCTGTTCTATACAATAGTTTTCTGAAAACACCTTACAAGTATTGAAATTAACAAACACAAAAGCACACATCCAGATGCGCGCGTGCATGCGCCCCGCCCTCCGCCACACACACAAAAGCACTTACCTACTAGCAATTTATCTTCTGATAGAAATTCATTTTTATTTCTTATATGTAGCTCTTACTAAGTAGTTGGCTAAATTTAAACATTCCCCAACTTTTAGAACATTATAATATTTTCCAATGTTACTAGCTTTTTGTGTTTTGCCAGATATATGACATGCTATGCTGCAATGAAGGGGCTTAAATTGTATTTTTTATGAACTAAAACAACAAAAAAGGAAAACCAACGTCTGTGTTAGACAAAAGTAAAAGTGCAAGGCAAATTCCATGGAAACTCATAAATGGAGGCTAAAGCAAATACCAGGGGATATGAAGGAGCTTAGAGAGTCATGGCAATCTGTTGTGATGAGATGATACTTTTCAAAAGTTGCTCTTCTGCAAAAGTAAATTTTCACTGAGACAGTTACTGAAGGTCATTTGAGACTTTTCTCTACAGAAAGAATAAAGAGGAATAAGTAAATATTACCAGGGCATAACATCTTCCCTAATGTGTAAGAAGTAGAGAGTACACAGCAAGAGTGCTTGGAAAGGTATTAAAAATGAAATTGAAGTAAGAAATTCACATTATTCTGAGCTCTTTAAGTTGGAAAGACATGGAGAAATTCAAACAAGAAAATGTCAGTGAACTCAACTCCTCTTTCCTTCAACTGCTCTGTATTTTTCAAACACAGTATGTTATAGAATGAAGATACTATAAATATATAATACTCAGAAGCAAAAATAAATAGCTGAGGCTGATCTTAATGCAATCAATCTTTAACTTAAAATAATATGAATCCTACCTTCAAATGTTAACCTACATTTTTTTATATAGATGGCAAATCAAGCAAGTGTAGACACAATATCAAAGCAAAACTCTTTTTATGGGCTTGATAAAACATTTTGACAAATTTTCCCCTTGAAAACATTTGAATCTTACCAGTGAATACTACAGGTGATTTAATGAGTTTGGATTTGTGGAAATTAGGAATTCATGGCAAAATAACAAAGCATACAGAAATTTAAAAACCAAACAAAAGCAAAAAAACAAATCTCCAGAAAGAGGCCTCTCTGAATTATATTAAGGCAAATGGAAGAACCAGGGCAGATTGCCCAGCTAAAGACTAGATAAAAGACTTCTCTAGAAACTAAAGGAATGTTCGGATTTTTATTTATAGTCCAGCAGTCTTTTATTTTTTAACATCTCTTAGGCCATGAATTCATAGGGAATAGGTTCCAATAGCTCAGGCTCCTTTCCGTTGGTTCTCACAAAATGTGCTTCTCTGGGTGGAGCAGGCTGGCGCTTCAGAAAGGAACTCAAGTTCCTTTCTCTTTGGCTTCTTTCTTTTTCTGGTCATTTTCTTTCACTCTCAGGAAGCTATCTCAGCTCTTAGAGTGTTAAATGTGCTCAATTCGCACATTAATCCTCTTGGCAAGGATCTTGCCCTTAACTTGCTTGTTCACAACAATGCCAACAGCATGCTGGGTAACATTATAGACTCTTCCAGTTTTGCCATGATAACATTTGTGGGGCATTCCTTTTTGAACAGTACCCATTCCCTTGATGTCTACAATATCACCTTTCTTGTAGATTCTCATGTACGTGGCCAAAGGAACAACTCCATGTTTCCGGAAAGGTCTGGAGAACATGTACGGAGTACCTCTCCTCTTTCCCTTTGTGTTCGTCATTTTGGCAAATTACTGCAAGATGGCGGTTCCGGCCAAAAGGCCGGATTTTTTTTTTTTTTTTTTTTTTAGTTCTTTCCTTGCCTTCTTTGTGCTCTTCATGGAGTTTGCATAGGAAGTTCATTGAGAGTACTTACAAACAACAAGCTATACATACAGTGAGACAAGTACATACACATACACATTTTCTCTTGGGAAACAGGTAAAGAAATCCAGCCTTGACAATAACTGAAAAATTACCCTATGCTCAGAGTTCATTTTTGGAGTATCAAAAATGCTTTTACAGGAGGCTTATATATTCTTTCAGCGCTTTGTGGAAACTCATATCCAACTCTATGGTAACTTTATTTCCCTCTTCCAGATTCTTCAGTTTCAGTATTTGTAGATAAGAATACTTCTGTGATACTTATCAGCAAGGAGAAAATTCCATTTCCTTTTTGAAATTATTTTAACAAAATTCATCCTTTAAAATTAGTCTGTACATATGGATGGCTTTTTGATGTTCCATCATTCATTCTATCCGTCCCTTCTCCCAGTGGTACTGGGAATTGAACTCAGGGACCCTACTGGTAGAGCCATGTCCCCAACACATTTTGCTTTAGTTCCCCCCTCCACCCCATAAGGCTTTATGGTTTTGTCCAGGCTTTTCTCAGATAAAAATTCTCCCATCTACCTCTGACTTAATTGAGTAGTTGAGATTACAGGCATATGCCACTATGCCCAGCCGTTCCTTCATTTGTTCTTGTTCTTATTTATTTATATCTTCAAACATTTATTTATTTTTCAACAACAGTGCCATGAGAGGAACTGCATGCTAAGTACTTCCCAAAGTATCAGGACAACCATGGTGGAGAATACATTTACATCTCTCCAAGAATCTATTGTCTCATGAACCAAGAATACCTTGCATTGTGTACCTAGTAGGCATTTTTTACTCTTTCTTTTGTTTTCTTTTATTTCCATTCTGTTTCTTTTCTCTTCTCTTTTCTTCTTGTCTTTTTGCTTTGCTTTCTCTCTCTCTTTTTCACACACACACACACACACACACACACACACACACACACACACACACACACACACACACACTGTCCACTGTCCTCTTTAGTGCTGATCCTGCTATTTGAACTCAGAGCCTGGGTGCTGTTCCTGAGTGTTTCTGCTCAGCGCTAGTCCTCGATCACTTGAGCTACAGGTCCTCTTTTGGGTTGTTTTGGTGGTTAATTGGAGAAACGACTATCATGGATTTTCCTATGTGGGCTGGCTTTGAATGGTCATCTTCAGATCTCAGCCTCCTGAGTAGGTAGAATTATAGGCATGAGTCAACAATGCCAAGCTAGGACTTCTTTATAAAAGAGTACTTAAGAAGAACATGTGTGTGTGTGTGTGTGTGTGTGTGTGTGTGTGTGTGTGTGTGTGTGTGTGTGTGTGTGTGTGTGTAGTGGATGCTAAATATGGGAACAATATCTCAAGAATACACTTTTTTTATGGAATGAAGGAGCTTAAGTACAAGATTTTAGAGACCAGGAAATTCTGGTAGAAATTTTTTTTCCTTCATTAGTTATTCCATTGTTCTTTATCCCGTTTACTTTTTGTTTTTATAAGTGATTGTCCTTTTAAGTTGTTCCCAAGTCCTCTCTGTTACAGAACCAACAACCAAATGCCTTATGTTTTTGACTCTTAATTCAGACTTTAAGAAGTTTAATCCCCAGCAGGTGTATTCAACATGTCTTATGTAACTGCTCAAGACACTGGGGGTTCTATGACCTTGGAATAGGAAATGCAGGAGCAGGTGTGTCATACAGCCACATTGCACCAACTAGGTTGGTTGAAGACAGTGCTCCTGAAGTGATAGTAGCATCTAAGCTGCAGACATACAAATAGCTCAGCACAAAGATCAATAAAGAAATATATTGCTATAGACAGAGCAGTTAGCATAAAAAAGGCTTAGTCCAGTGTGACTGAAGCATAGAAATTTAAAGGATAATTATTTTCTAAGTTTAGTGTAGAAATGGCCCAAAGAGTTGGTCAAGACCTCTGATCAGGAAGAGCATGGTACAATATTATGAGAAGTTTGACATTTGCCTGATGGCAGCATGGGAAATTTTGAATTGATTTTAGAGGAATCAAGCAAGGGAGAGTGAACTACTGTAGAGGTTTAAGATCAGATAGAGACTAATGGGGAGAGGTGAGAGGGAAGCAGAGTGTGAATATGTCTGAAGTGCCTTACATATTATGAAAATAGAGTAATGAAATGCCCTATAAATTGTTAAAACTGAAAATTGAGAGGGGGTAGGCTAAGAAAGATTAGTTGAGGGGAAGAACTTATTCAGATTACATCGGATGAAATATTCCAATGAAATGTCTGTATAATTAATTTACACTAACAAAAAGAAATATAA